CCGCTGGTGCAGGCGCGTCACTGGCCCGCCGCTCCGGCAGCTGCGGCGGGGCGCGCGGGACTGGCATCGATTCTGCGGGCTGTATCTGGTGCTGCGCCGCAAAGGCGATCGCAGGCTCGTCCAAGTCCATCGGCTGGGACTGCTGCTGCTGCTGCTCCTGCTGCTGCTGCTGCTGCTCCTGCTGCTGCTGCTGCTCCTGCTTCTGTTGCTCCTGCTGTTGCTGCTCCTGCTCCTGCTCCTGCCCCTTCTGCTGCACCTCTCTCTGCTCGCCCACACCCCGGGCCCCAGCGGCGGCCGCAGCGGCCGCACCGCCGGCAGCCAGCGCTGCGCGCGCCCGCGCGACCGCCGCCTCCGCCGCCTCACTGTTCTGTTTGAAGGGCACCTCCAGCCAGCCGGGCGGCACCATGGCGGCGGCCGCGGCCGCGACGGCGGGCGGCAGGGGGATGGGCCGGAGGGGGGCGGGGATGCGGAGGGCGGTCTCAAAGGGCTCCAGGGCGCGCGCCTCTGAGGGTGTTTTATGTTTGCGGGGGGCGAGGGTCAAAAGGCAGCATCAGATTGGAGTATGGTGCCCACCCACTGGGGTGGTTTGGAAACATGCCGAAGTAAGGGGGGCCACCCGATGTCTGTAAACCTTTTCAGATCCACTGGGCCACGGTGGCTGATGGGATGATTTTGCTGCTGATCAGCCGCTTCGCCCGCACCCAGCACGGCGCTGCACCAGGGGTCAGCGGCGTGAGCCCCGCAGCGTGCAGCAATCCCCTCCACGCTGAGCAAGGATACTTCCGTCTCACTGTGGGGGGGCAGCCACCCGAGGCTGCAGGCAGCAGGGCAACTCGCGGCCCAACAAGCGCATCCCCTGCTCGCTTGTGAGAGTCAAACAAACCACGTCTCAAGCATCCCAGTCAAGCCCACAACAGCACAGCCTGTTCCCTGATTCGGCCCCCGTTATTGTTCTCCAAACAGCGCCAGCAAGCGCAGCCATTCAAGGCGCCCCTCCCCTCCATGCACACAGCTGCTGGGGCTGCCCACTAGTTCAGGGTTTATACAGCGTTTTAGGGGTTTTCTGCAAGCGCGCACAGGCAAGGCGCTCTTCCCCCCGCCCCACGCACCCAGCTGCTGGGGCCGGCCCTCCCTGAGCCACGTGGGGTGCAGGCCGCCGTCCACCTTGCCGCGGGACAGCAGCAGCTGCAGCGCGGCCAGGGCGGCCAGGGAGCGGGACTCCTCTCGCCTGGAGGGTGGGACGGGATTGCGGTTGTGCGGTGTGTGTGTGTGGGGTGTGCATGTAAATGCGCGTGTGATGTGCGCGTGCGCGTGCGGTGTGTGCATGTGCGTGCGTGCGTGCGTGCGTCCGTGCGTGTGTGCGTGCGTGCGTGCTTGTGGTTGGGGGTGTGAAGGTTGTTGGGTGGAGGTCGAGTGAGTTTTGGGAGCCTCTGACATGTGGATGTTGTGGATGCGGGCGTACAATGCGAGGGGCGGGCGGGCCCCCATCAGCATCCTGAACACCCGCCTGGCTCCCGCTCCCTGCCCCACCGCCCACGCGTCCTTACCCCCCCACCCCGCGCCAACCCTACCCACCACCCGCCTTTCTTAAAGTGTGATGGAACACACAAAAAGGGCTTCGCCACTCTGCGCCTGACGTTAAGGAATTAATGGGCGCCATCGCTGGTTGGCACAGCACAGCAGGGCGGCGGGCTGACGACATCATTCGTCCCTGGAGGAGAGTCAGCGCACCGCCTTGCAAGCTGTTGCTCTTCCTGCTCCTGCACCGCCGCCCCTGCGTCCACCCCCCCCCCCACGCCACCCCTTTCCACCGCACGCCTTTGATCGACCGTGATTGAACGCACAAAAAGGGCTACACCACTCTGCGCCTGATAGCGAGGGGGACAATGGGCGCCATTTCTGGTCGTTACAGAACAGGTGAGCAGGGCGGCGGGCTGATGACAGTATTTGTGCCCAGAGGGAGGTCAGCCCACCACCTTGCAGCAGCTGTTCTTTCCCCTTCCCTGCCCCGCCGCTCCCGCGTCCACACCACCCCCCCCACAAACAAACACACACACACACACACACACACACACACACACACACACACACACATACACACGCCATCCCTTTCCACCACCCGTCTTGATCACGAGGCGAAACGCACGAAAATGGTGGCACTGTTCAGGGCTGGAAGATGATGGCAACACATCCTGGCCCTCATCTCTCTTTGGCACACCTTATCAGGTCGGCGGGCTGGTGATGTCATCGGAGTGTGGATGCTGTCAGCCCGCCGCCTTGCAAGCTGCTGTTCTTTCCCCCCCCCTCCCC